GCTTGCCCGTTTTCTTTTGAATTGTTTGGAGAGACTTAAAGGAACTGTGTTTGGTGGTTCCTTGGTGAACTCTGAATGGATGTTTCATTCGGGAGCTGATGCCGCTGATTCATATGAACATCTGAAATCGGTTAGAATTGGCGGATGAATATCGTGAAGGGTCCAGGCTTTTCTTTTCGTCACTCGAGTCGCGGAAAACTGGTGCCAGGCGATGGGGAGCGACTTGTGCAAGATGCACGAGAAGATGTTCCCTAAGGGCCGCATCATTCTGGGAGGTGGGCGACAGAGCTCGTTGGCCAGAGAAATGTGTTTTTGTTGACAAGCCTTCTTGGCATTGCAAACACCTTGGTATGACTCGTGTTCTTCGGATTGGCGGCTTTATGATCCAAAAATGTGAATGGTTGATCTGCCGAATGGTGCAAAGTCACTACTTTTGGTGTTCTCATTTTCTGGCTAGGCACTTCGATGGGAGCTGCTGCAAGCTTGTATGCTGCACTGGAGGTCGGGTGGCAGGAGCCCCTATAGTAGCTTCTAGCTACTAGTAGCGATGCCAGGAGCCCCTAGTAGCTTCTTGTTCCTAGTAGTAAGGCCAGGAGCCCCTAGTAGCTTCTAAAGTATTTGCTGCAATTGGACACTTTCTTCACTTTTCTGTGCCCGCTTGGCATTGGCCAAAGTCTAGTCAAAGGTACTTCGTGGCTTGAGTTTTTGTTTATGCCCTGTTCCAAATTTAATTTGAGTTGTTCTTGCAATGTGAAGCGACCTTGCTTAGCAAACTATGCAAGCCAAAGCAAAACCCGATGATAAGGGCCATGTGGCATGCCAAAATCACTGTCAAGTAGAATCTTTGGACTATGGTCTCTAGAAGCTCCATTGGACTTCTTGTTCGTGTCCCTTCTCCCTTTCCTCCATGCCCTTGGTTTCACGTCCATTCGGGCCCCCGTCAATCTCTTGCTGCATTCCAGAAGCCAAACGAAGGTGCCCAAACTTCCTTTTTCTCACATGGCACTCGCCTTTTGCGTGGCGGTACACCCACATGTGTTTTTCATCTACGACCACAGCCAATCTAGCTACTGAGATCCTTGGCACGCTTTGTCCATCGACTCGTTGCATGCTCGACGTGCTTCCCAATCAAGTGTTTGGAAGGGCATTCGTTCGGAAGAACAACTGCAGAGGTGCTGCTTCCTGTCTCACTGACAGCGTTGTCCTCATCCAACCACCAGAAGAAGAAACAGACTCATCCAAACATCCAAGCAAAGCGACAAGGTTAGAGGACCGAAAGACGCACCGTCTCAAACAAAACACATCTCGGCTCCAAGCGCGCGCTGCGCGCGGTGCTGGCAACGTGAATCTGTAGCTCTTGGCTGATCGATCGAAGGTCATTTCCCCTCGACCTCGCCGTTTGCATGAGCAAGAAGCTACTAGGAGCAATGGGCATCGCTTCTAGGAGCAGCGGACGCTACCTGGCCGTACTAGGAGCAAGAACGCTACTAGGAGCAAGAAGCCAGAAGCGTCTTTGGTCCAAAAGCTACTCTCCTTCAGTGAGCCCAAAAGGGCCGTGACGGTCCTGTCCTTTCGTGCTCCGTTCGTAGCGATGCCCTTTGCTCCTAGTAGCTTCTTGTTCCGTTCGTAGTAAGGCCAGGAGCGGTAGCTTCCCTGTTGCGTTTTCTTTGTTCAACCATGTCCCAAAACGGAACAAGAACACGCCCCCATCCCGGTCCTGCCGGTTTGGAGCACGAATCGCCATGGAACGTTGCAACGTCCTTGTGTTGATCACATTGTCTGTTTGTTGTCACAAGGCCAGGAGCCCCTAGTGGCGTCCTTGCTCTTAGTACATGAACTGTTGCTGGCATTCTCCCATAGAAACACACGGTGGTAAGAAGCTGGAATGAGTCTTGACCTTCCGAATGATGCTGATTGTCCTTGATTCTTCTGAGGTGTCCAACCAGTTTTGATCGATCTAGACTGCAGGAGTAACTCAGTTGACTCCGCTCATGTGCCTCCAGACTCATAGAAGCTGAGAGTAGACTCTAGATCCAAACTTGATCGCATGGCCCTCCAAGCTTGCGAACCACTTCTGAGTGTCGCAGACACAAAAGCACACGAGCAAAAAAAAAGAAACGCAAACATAGTGCCAAGAAACCTCCGTCAAAAAAGGGCCTAGTAACAAGAAACTGCTAGCAGCACGGGCATCGCTACTAGAGGGCATCGCTACTAGTAGCTCCTGGCATTACTACTAGTAGCAAGAAGCTACTAGGTGGAGGCCATCGCTATTGGAGGCCACTACTAGTAACAAGAAGCTACTAGCGGCTCCTGGCCTTACTACTAGGAGCAAGGACGCTACGAACGGGGCTCCTGGCATCGCTACTAGTAGCTTTCTTACTAGTAACAAGAAGGCTACCAGTAGCTCCTGGTCGAACGACGGGGACTCACCAGACTCACCAGGCACCCGAAAAGGTGGAAGCCTTGGTTTTGGCCACGCCACCCACCGCATGGGAGACGCGTCACTTGGAGCTGTTGGAGCTCTTTTGGTCATGAAAAGGTGAGGGAACCTTGAACGGATGTTTCTTTTGAACACGTTTTCTTGAACGGATGGATCTTTCCGTTGACTTTGTGAGAGAGGTGGGTGAGAGAGTAGGGTTTACTCAACGACGGCAGTGACGGCAGTGAAAAAGTTTCAAGACCTGCGTCATTCTTGGTCACGCTTGACGTCCTGACCACTGATTTGGTTTGGTCAATCACGCAAAGGTGCTCTTTCGGTACCATGTTGATCCTATGCTGCACTAAGAGAAGTAAGAGAAGCATGGCGGTCAAATCACCCAAAGCATAGCGGTAAAAGAACTACTTCTCTTACAAGCATAGTGTAAACTGATTTAGAGGATCCCAGAGGCACCATAAACTCGCAACCAGATCCAGCACGTCTCATTGTCGGATGTGTAAGCATCTCCAAGTCTTCACAAATCGCGGCTGCTCATGGCCATCGAGGTAAGAAGTTTGTGCCACTCTACCAAGAAAGTCTCGCGCTGGCTGAAAAGCAGGGGCTTGAAGCTGCCAAATCCGTGGCCGAGACGAAGGTGCCTGGATTTCGTAAGTTGCACCACTTGTTTCATGGCCTCACCAAGAGAGAGCTTAAGCTTCGAAGTGTTGTTCGATGGCCTTTTTGCTTCCTTTGGTCCCAGGCACGGCCACCCATCTTCTTGGAGACTGAGCGTGGCAGAGTGGCTTGGAACATCTTTTCAGCAACAGTTCAATTCCACATCCTTCTCTCAGGATGGTGGGCAACCAAAAACTAGGAGCAAGAAGCTACTAGGAGCAAAGGGGATCGCTACTAGGAGCAAGGACGCTCCCTGTCACAAGACCCCAAAAAATGTTTGAGATCCGAAAGTTCACGTTTGGTGTTGGAAATTCCTTCCAGAGCGCTTGAGTTCAGACACTAAGAGGTTGGGACACGGAAGTTGGATCCTTGAGGTAAAGACACGGTGAGTCCATTTGAGGCCTCCTTCGACATCGGTTGGCGCCAGAAGTTCTCCATGGGACAACGCCGCTACTGTGCCGCCCTGCGGGGTGCCATCGACTCGGACTTGCCCTCGCCCGAGGCACTTCGCCGTGGCTGGGTGAAGATCGGACGGGTGCGGAGGCGCTTCTCCAAAAAGTGTCTACTAGGAACAAGTGCCAAGTAGTAACAAAAAGCTATTAGAATTAAATTAAGTTTAAATTAATAGCTTCTTGTTACTACTAGTAACAAGTGCCTTACTAGTAGTAACAAGTGCCTTACTAGTAGTAACAAAAAGCTACTAGTTGATTTAAATTAATTTAATCTAAAAATCAAAATTATACTAAATTAACTACTAGCTTCTTGTTACTACTAGTAAGGCACTTGTTACTACTAGTAAGGCACTTGCTCCTAGTAGCGATGCACTTGTTTCTACTAGCGTTGGAAAGAACGAGAAATGACCTACAGTGAAATGACTTCATCATCTTTTCTTCAAGACTCCAGACTGCACTTGATAGCATGCGGACTTGCTAGAGACAATCAATGGTCAACCGACGGGCAAGAAGCATTGGGTATGGTGTGACTCAAGTTGAAGATCAACTATTCGACGGATGTAAGATGCTGCAACCGGCAAGCTAATCTTAGGTGAAATCTTTCATGTTTTCACTCAGTTCCAATCAAATGCTTTGAACCTCTACCGGCGCACACGCGCGTCGTCCGCGTCGGCCACTTCACACGCAGTTCATGCGACCAGATGAGGGAGTCCACTCCAACCTAGTAGCATTCTTTGCTCCTAGCAGCGATGCCCTTTGCTCCTAGTAGCGTTCTTTGCTCCTAGTAGTAAGGCCAGGAGCCCCTAGTAGCGGCCTTGCCCACTCGCGCATTTACTCAGCTGTAATTGTTGAGATCGATTGTTTCGGCTTTGTGCCGATTGCGACATGCAACCTCTCTCAGGATGTGTTTTCAGGGTTTTTTTCCCTGGACTCGATGTTCCTTTGAATGCCATGAGTAGTTTGTTCACTTCGTTCCAGCTCGATCAGCAAGCTTTGAGGACTTAATATTCCGGTGCTGATCTTGGCTTGGAAATCTGATGCGCAACATCCGCTCGAAAGTGCTCTCATGCTGCAAGAATCTTAGCTGCATCCCGCAGAGGCTTGGGAAATTCGTCGGAACAAGTGGGCTTCAAAGGGTAAATTCTCATTTGGACTGAGAACAGCACTCTTTTGGAGATCAGTCTTACCAAAAACACTCCTCTTTTTCGATGGAATGGGTCCAGTTCTCCTTTCTCAGACCGCCGAGCTGGACTCAGGAGATCCTTCCACAGGCAGAGCTCTGTGTAGCAGACTCCTGGGAGGAGATCGAGAGGTTTCCAGAGCAGATCCGAGGCTTTTTGCTTAATCTGCTCTGAGCAAGAAAAGACGGAAAAGAGCAAATTGCATTTGCTTAGCTTTGCGCTGTTGGGAAATGTCTCAAGGTTGGAGTTGCTTTGCTGTGCTTTGATGTATTGCTGTGGCTCAAAAGACGCTTCTGACGCTTCTGCCATGACTCGTGATGAGCCGTGTCCCGGTGCCGCCCGGCTCGCCGCGGCCACGCTCGGCCCCGCGGCGTTTCCGGCCCCGGAAGCCCGACGGCTACGGCTACGAGAAGTTCGAGAAGCCCGACAAGCCCACGACGCACACGCCGCGCTCCTCTCGAAGCCGTGGTAAAGAGAATGACCATCGGGAGGAGACGGAGAAAGAGAATGTCCTGGGGCCCTTGATGAAAGCAATTGCAGGGCTTTGTCAACACCGAGACCGTGGCACCGAATTGTGGTTTCGCTTGTTGGAACCTTTGCGACGTTTGGTGCTGTGCGAGGAGGTGAAGATTGTGGTGCGCTGCCTGGGACCACTTCCTCCAGACCCACTGCTGCCCTTCAACCATGACGTTGAGGCAACAAAGAAGTGTAGAAAGGCTTCTTGTGTAGAAAGCTCCGTTCGTAGCGATGCCCATTGCTCCTAGTAACTAGTAGCGTCCTCAAAATAGATCCAGAACAATCGTCGTAACTTCCCTTCAAGGCACGGCGGCGTGTGTGTCCAGTGACCTTCGTGGAGACCTGGCCAGCACAGCGGATCGAGGGCTACGCAGCCTTGACACAGCCGCAAAGCATCCAGGCGAGACGAAGAAGAGAGAAGCATAGCCCGTTTTGGGCGGAAGCGAGAGAGAGAGAGAGAGAGAGAGATTTAGGGCGTTTTGGGATAGTGACGTAGTTGTTAGGGTTCAGCTGCTGAGGAGTAAGAGGTAGCTTAGCTACTACGTGCGATGATGCAGACTTGTCACTGGACTGCAGAGGCACCACATCCTTCTCGATAGTTTTTGCACACGTTGAGTACCTTTTAAGACGATTAAATGGCGAGGGCTTGTGAAAGCTGTGGAAGCTCCCCAGGCACAGCTGTTCCACACACTGGAAAGCGAGTTTGGGAAAACATTTACAAAGCATGTGCACCGGGCACACCAGTCTCTTTCTGCATTTGTTCGCACAGGTGATGCCTTCACCATTAGCTGCTCGACACAACTGGGATCGCTATGAGGCACGCGCTTGATTCAAATGCATCTGAGCTTCAGTGAAAGAATCTCTTTCTGCAGATGGTGCAGCCTCACTGTACATCAGCGCTTTGCTGCAAAGAAGCTTGTCTCGACGGATGTAGATATTGCTTGCAGATGTCGTTCAAACCTTCCAAGACCTGGTTCATGTTCTTTCCGACTTGCAGCAAGGTGAGCTAAGAAAGTGTGAGGTTTGGAATAATTCTTTTTTGCAGCAAACCGGTTCTTTCACAAGACATGTTGTTTAAGTCTAGAGTGCCTTGTTTTTCGAAGTGCTGTTTTTTATTTTTTCGATATGGCGTAACACATTCCTTTTGGGCCTATGACACGTCTCACAAGGCCAGCGAAGGCCTCCGATGCCTGGCTGCTGTGCCACTCCTGGACGCCGGGGGCAACGTTTTGGCCGTGGTGACTCAACGGAGAGATGGGAAGAAATGAAACATGTTTCTCTTTTTTTTGGGGGGGGGGTAGGCCGTGGAGGTAGTAGCTAGAGGTAGCAAGCAGGGAGAGGTAGCTAGTAGCTTACTTAAGCTACTAGTATCGACGCAGGATAGCTCACACTTCTATTCATTTGGTTCCCAGATTTTTGGGAAACTTAACTAGTAGCAATGGCCTCCAACCCAAGGGTCTTTTTGCTCAAAAATATACTTGTCTTCTCCTGTCTTCTTTTCGCTCTTTAGTAACCTTTAGACCTTGTTTTCCTATGTCAGTCCTTGTTCTTTCTTTTACTGCTTTCGCCTTCTCCGCCCCGTCATCCAAAGTCTCATCCTTGGTGCACGTAAGTCTATTTTGTACCTGTAGAGAAGCGGTGACGTCCCTTTGCTACTAGTAGCTTCTTGTTCCTAGTAGTAAGGCCAGGAGCTTCTAGTAGCGTCCTTGCTCCTAGTAGCGATCCCTTTGTTCAGAAAAAGTTGTGTTCAATATGTTTTCTGAGCTTCTATGCTTGTGTTTAGGCTAAGTTCTTCAATCGCCGAAAATGGGCGGATGGTCAATGGCATCCATGCTTCAAGTGCTTTGGTTCAAGTTGCATTCTTGGAAGCAAAGAAAGCAAGAAATGGGATGAAGTAAAGCCGCTCCGAACTGTACCTATTCCCAAAAGACTTTAAGGAACCTAATAGCGATGACCTCCAACCTAGTAGCAATGGCCTCCAACCTAGTAGCGATGGTCTCTTGGAATGAAGCGTTGTGCAGACGCGTCCTCTGCGCGTCCTCCGTCTTCTTCTATCTTGGAGCTCAGAGGTTTTCGGAAGCAGATCTGAATGCGCTCCGCGCCTTCGCGGCGATTTTCGCTTGTGCTTCTTGGTTGAAGGCTGAAATGGTTGCAAAATCCTTGTAAACAGGAAGAGTGCAAAATGAAATACTAGGAGCAACGATGCTACTAGGGGCTCCTGGCATCGCTACTAGGGGCTCCTGGCCTTACTACTAGGAGCAAGGACGCTACTCCTGCCATGAAGGAGATGACACCGAAGGCAACATCGGCGACCGATGGTCTGAGGTCGCACCATATCCCTTCCTGGCATTGCTGGCTGCTCCCTTGGAAAAACCACAGGCGATGAGCGATTCTTGTGAGCAAAGGAGACTGCTCAAAATGCTCAAGTCGTTCCTTCTCAACACAAGCAGAGCATTAGAGGGGAAGAAGTTTGGAAGAAGATAGAAGACTCGACAGGTGAAGGTCTTCATCGATGACTATGGCATTCACGCTCAGCTGTGGTGGCAAGTGTCGATGTCTTAGCTTGATCGAGCAGTGCTTCACAAGTTCAGTGCTTCAGCAAAGAACAGGCCTATTGTTATTAGGTTGGAGGCCATCGCAATTAGGTTCCTTTTCCTAGTGCCATCGCTTCTGCTTTGTGAGGCCCTATGAGTTGGGACGTGGACCATTGAGCCACGAGGCGTGTTTACATGAGTTTTCTATTCTTTTCTGACGTGACATGCAAAAGAAACATCCGTCGCTGCTTTGCTTCTGCACTATTGTTATTCCCTCTGGATCACCTTCATATTCCTTTGGTGAGGTCTTCTACGGACCTGTGGAGCACGATGAATTTGAATGCTGCACATCTGACGCTGAGGTGCATGGAACTTGATAGTAACAAGAAGCTACTAGGGACAAGTGCCTTACTACTAGTAACAAGTGCATCGCTTCTAGTAACAAGTGCCTTACTAGTAGTAACAAGAAGCTACTAGTAGTGCCTTGCTAAGGTGCATGGAACTTAGATTGACATTTGTCGCAAGTTGATACGTTCGAAGGCAAAGACCCTGTGGCGACATGTGTCTTGCGGCTTCCTCTCGCCCCTCGAGGCTCGTTCGAGAAATGGTTAGCACGAGTATGTCACAGCGAACCTTTGCTTTTAGGAAGTTTTGCATGACGCTTTCAAGGACCTGGAGGATGAAGATTTAACTTTCGAATTCTCTGCACAGTTCTCGGACTTTCGACTCTTCTGCTTGTTGGATTAGTGAGAGCTCTGAGGTGCCCATTCAGAATCAAGGTGTTGATCATACCTTCCGTGTGAGGTGCAGGAGAACGAGCTTCCGACCAACTTCAATTAAATCTGTAGATAAGTCATTACCTAGTAACAAGGACGCTATTAGGTGGAGGCCATCGCAAGTAGGTTGGAGGCCATTACTACTACCAACAAGAAGCTACTAGTTACCTGTTGTGATGTTTTTGCATTCTTTTCGCTTTGCAGGAACCAGCACACGTCGCTGGATTGGTCGGAACCTTCTTTGCAAGTGTCTACTTGCATAGAGCCCCCCTATGCGGAGCACAAGGTCGGTGATTCAAAAAGGGGCCGACTCGTTTTTTCTTGCATGCGCGGGGGGGGCCGCTAGAGGTAGTAGCTAGTAGAAGCTAGGTAGCTACTAACTACTGGACGCGGGATAGCTCACGCTTCTTCAAGGAAAGGCGGCGGGGGAAGCTTCCTTGAAGAAGTGCTCGCACTAATGATTTGGTTCCTAGATTTATCGGGAAACTTCAGTCTTTTTCTTTGTTTTCTCTTTTCATTGGGGAATTTGCCTTGTGGAGGCGGTTCGGATGATTCCTATGGGCGAGAACACTTTGCAGCAGTCGCCTTGGACTTTCAGCATTCAATGAGCTTTAACGATGAAACCCAGGGCACCTGCATCACTCTTTGCCTCTTTCTCCGAGAACGGAAGAGTTAAGATTTCTTGGAACGGCTTCAAGGCTTCTTTGGACTCCATTCACTCGAAGTGGAGGCATCAGCTTGGTGGAGTACCGGGTTCTCGCACAGGCTGAGCGCAGTTTGAATGTTTTGCGGGCGTCCACACAGCGACCTTTGAGGCGGAGTCCAGCGAATCAGTGGTTGCTTGCTTCGTCTCGAACGGCACAACCGCCCAAGAGGAAGTGACAGCCACGTGGTGCAAAATGATGCAATGCAAGAACGCTACTAGGAGCAAAGGGCATCGCTACTAGGAACAAGTAGCTACTAGGGGCTCCTGGAATCGCTACTAGGAGCATTCTTACTACTAGTAACAAGAAGCTACTAGGGGCTCCTGGCCTTACTACTAGGAGCCCCTAGTAGCTTCTTGTTACTAGTTAGTGTTGATTGAATTCCATGTTGTCATGAAGCTTTCTTGATTAAACTTCCGTGCTTTGAAACAGTCTGTCAGGTGTCCTGCTTGCCCAACGTGAGCTGCTCAGTGCTCTTATGTGTCGGAGCTGCTCAGTCATCTTTCTTTCAGGTCTCGTACACCTTTGCCATCGAAGCACGTTATCCTTTCATTGGCTCTCGAGCCGGTGACCTAGCAACATGCAAGGCCTGCAATCCACCTCAATGAGAGCCAAATTGGTTGCTGGTCATTTCTCAAAGAAAGCTACTAGGAGCAAGGCGCCTTACTACTAGTAACAAGAAGCTGCTACTACTACTTAAGTTTCCCAAAAAATCTAGGAACCAATTCATTAGTGCGAGCGCTTCTTCAAGGAAGGGCGGCGGGGGGAGCTTCCTTTTCTCTCAAGCCGGCTCGACAACGTCATCGGCAACCAACGAGCTTCCGCGTCGAAGGTCAGTGAACCAAAGAGTGACAAGAGAGAATCATCACACCAATTGTGACATCGGTGGATGCAAGCACAAGAGTAGTGGTTCAGTTCAAACCACTCAATCGGACTGCGCAGAGTGAATCTACCATATTGAATACCATTCCGAATTCGAGAACTTCTGCCAAGCTGTGGAGCGGCCCCCCTTCTTCACAAGTTGTGGAAGTACGGCATCACAGATGACAGTGGAACAACAAAAACCGGGCAGCCACCCGCCACAACAAGCTCGATGTTGGACACCTCCCAACTCATTGTAACCAGGCGAGGCGCCACACCATGACTTCTCGAGGAGTGAAAGTCTTACCTCATTCCATGCAGAAAAGTCCGAAGGCCACCACCGATAGTGAGAGGAGTTCCCACACACACACACACACACCAGTGGAGGCATATGTAGCAGGAATGCCCGCTACCGAATACCCGGGGAAAAACTGAAAAGATCAGCCCAACAACATATTCGCAGAACCCAAGCCCGGAGGCAACATGGGAATCCACCTGATGAGCCAATGCAAAATCAGCACCACACAAACGGAGCCACACGAAGGAGATAAGATGCATCCTTCATACGCATCAGAAAACAAATGAGTGACATTCCATGGCGTGCCTCGGTGATGATGTGGAAGGTTCCACGACGCCCCTTTTGGCCAACCCGAATCTTAGCTGGGAATGGACAATGCAAAGCGTCAACCTGCACTCCAACACAAGCACCTGCATCAAGGTCAACGTTGAGATGGTCCACTTCACAGATGAGCTCAAAGGTTGGCCACTCATCCACAGGTTCAACCAAGTTCATCAACATGGTGGTTCGGCGTGCCAGCACTGAGTGAGGAGCGCCACCCTGTACGTCAGTGAGTTTCCCAAAAATGGTCCAGTCCTCAGTATCATCACGGCAATCTCCTGTAGAAGCAATGGCCTGCAAGGCCCCTCGAACTGTCGCACCAAGGGTGTCAGGCATGCCCATCGTTGCTCAGTCAACAAAGCCAGCTAACGACTGTGATCCTTTTCCTCTCGTAGTCTCCATCATCGCCATGGCACTGCAGGAGTCTGTGGAATCCTGCCCGGTCGGCGCTCCACCCCAGCACCAGGTGCTGGTAGCGAAGCCGCGGCGCGTGCCGGTGCGTAAGCTGAATGACTTTGGGCCAGTGCAGCTGGGGGGAGCTTCCTTGAAGAAGCGCGAGCTATCCTGCATCCTAAGTAGTAGCAAGCTTTCCCTGAATTAAGTAGGCGCCTACTTAATTAAGTAGGGAGGGGGGGAGCGGGCTCAAGAGAAAAGCGATTTTCCCTGTGAGGGGTCCAGAGAGTGCTCCGGAGGTCACCCACTGTGACTGACTTTCCAACGCTCAGGAGTTTTCTCGGTCTTTGACCAGCGACCGCTTCTGCTATCAAACTGCTGATGTGTCCTTGCCTGTCAGGACCTGAGGATTGACGCTTACTTTCTAAAGACTAAGAAGAACTGCCACGACCTGATGACTTGACGACAGGCTCCCCAGCCACTGGCACTTGATTCCACCCCGGTGGAAGTGGCTGGGACCTCTGAGGCGGGCAAGTAGAAGCAGTGTTTCGAGACCTTTAGACTTTAGACTAGTAGCATGGACTTTATTAGGTGGAGGCCAATTGCTATTAGGTTGGAGGCCATCGCTACTAAGAACAAGAAGCTACTAGTAACAAGGGTGTCTTTTCTTTTCTGTGTCTTTTTTGGGGGGTAGGCCATGAGCGCAAATTCTTTGGTAGTATTCATGGTCTCAGGGCACAATCCCTGTGGTCCTTCGCTGGCCATACCCCAAGGAGCAAGAGTTGCAATGGTTGCGAATGGCTTGGGTTGTTTGCTGTTAACTCGGCACTATGCAAAGGAGTTTTCGGGGCAGCTGCTCCTGCAATACCGTGCCTTGATGCAATATGATGCACGGTGGTCTTTTGTCTTTTGGGAACATAACAAACATGCATCACACGTGAGCACCTTTTCAACACAAGACTGACCACAATGAGGTGAGGCCTTGCCCGAAAGAGGAGGCGATCGATGTCAGGCCGATTGGTGTTTTCAGCCAAGGGAGTGTTGCGAGCCCTTGGTCAGCCAATCAAGAGCAAAGAAAAGCGATGGCCTCCAACCTACTAGCGATGGTTTGGGCCCTTGAATAGGGTCTCTTGCTTCTGTTTGTGTTTTTTCCGTTTTGTCCTCAGAAACTGCTTGCTTTCGACGGCACTACGTCGAGGTGTCACTTTGGCATGAGATCAATCCAAATGCTTATGTCCAAGCAGAGCTGAGGCCAGGGAGGGATCTCGTCTATAACAAGACAAAGGGTACCTTAAAGAAAAAACGGATTGTTCGAAGGCAGCTGAAGCGAGTGAAAGTGAAACACCATTCGACAGCAGGTCAAATGATGAAGCAACACAGCGTGGCCTCCCAGAGCGCCAGCATAGCTAGTAACAAGTGCATTGCTACTAGTAACAAGTATATTACTGCAAGAAGCTACTGGTAGCGATGCACTTGTATCTAGTAGCTTCTTGCTACTACTTTAAACTTTCCTCGCAGTAGCTATGCTTCAACTGATCATTGTCATTTGCTCGTGCCAAGAAAACGGTCAAGGGTGCGTGTGCTCCGGCTGAAATCCGATGCTCCTCATGCAATTCAGCTTCGAGTTCTCCTGCCTCGAGGACAGGTTCTTCAGCATAAAACTGATGAACTCATGACACCGACATGAGGTTGAGGAATTGAGGAAGCATGAAAAGTTGTCCAGACCAAAATCCATCAATCAAGTTCTGCTTTTCCAGTCCGGTAGCTACTCAAGCTACAACTGTTGGTTTTGTTTGCGTGGCATGGCTGGGCCGTTGTTTCAGATCGTGGCACAGCTTCGCCCCCTTCAGCCTGGTTCTACCCGCTCCCTCCACCAACACCAAGTGAGCTGAAGTCGTCCGAAGCCAAGTTCAGATGAGCGGAAAGATGTACCAGCCGAGCCGCCTAGTAGCTTTTTGTTCCTAGTAGCGATGCCAGGAGCCCCCAGTAGCGTCCTTGCTCCTAGTAGCGATGCCCTTGCTCCTAGTAGCTTCTTGCTCCTTCATCAGTTTTGACTTTGCTTTGGGTGAAGATTCAGGCGGTTGGCCTTTGAAAATGGTTTTCTTCTCCGGGTGTCTTGGGTTCGGAACTCAAGAAAGCCAAAAGAGACCTGTCTTCTCTTCCAACAGTTTTGTAGGAACAGAAGAACAATTCTGCAGTACATGGAGAGTTGGGTCCAGTTGGTGCCTTAGGAATATTGTTCTTGCTCTACTTGCTGTCTTTTTTCCTTTTGAACCTCTGCACCTTTCATTTGTCCTTGCGTCCTGTCCTGTCACCTTTGCTCCACTTTTCTTGTTTTTGGAATTTGTACCTGGGGTATTCAGGTGGCGGGTGCCATCCAACATGACTTTGCTCGGGGCAACGGACCCATAGCGACACGCTTCCAGGCACCGAAATTTGGCATTTGCCGTTTTTGCAAAAAGAAAAAGAGGCAAGAAGCTACAAACGTAACAAGGGCATCGCTACTAGTCGACTAGTGGCAAGAAAGTACTAGGTTGGAGGCCATTACTACTATTAGCGCCTGAAGCTACGAAAGTAACATCAGCATCTTGGAGGCTCGCATCCGCACCGAGGGTGTCGAGGGTGCCAAGGGTGCATGGGAGGTGGGAGGGACGTGGAGGGAAAGCACCACTTCGCTTCAGCGGCTTCGGCAGGTCTTGGAACCACAACTCTTGCCTCGACTCAGGCGGGGTTGAAAGCATGGATGTGCCCTTTGTTCCTAGGGGCGTCCTTTGTTACTAGCAAGGCCAGGAGCTACTAGTAGCGTCCGATCGCTCCTAGTAGCAATGCCCTTTGTTACTAGTTGTCAAACGGCAGAGACAATTTGGTGTTGGGTCTGTAACGGTGCGTTACATTGGTGTCAGGCAAGTGCTGGATCGAGAGGCAAGGGAAGTTTGCGTCAATCAGCGGGCAAATCGTAAACACTCGTCAATCAAGAGGAAAAAGATTACAACCAAAGAACAGAGAGGAAAAAGGCCAATCAGAAAGACGGAGTTACAAATGATTGATGGAAGTCGAATCATGTGATTTTTGTTGCAAGGCCTACGAGTGGAGCTTGCATGATGTCCGCTTGGCAACTGGCCCGTTGGAGGCCAAGAGTGAAGCAACGGAATCTCGTCGAGAGGCATCATGGCCAGGTGCAGTTGCGCCATGCCAATGCCATTCTTTGGTCAAGTGAAGCACTCAGTGGATTAAGAAACAAACGGACTTTGACTTGAGACATCTCAACCCTTGAGCCCACAGGGGCAAACTCATTTAGGTTGGTCTGATAGCAGCATCATCCCTGGAGCTGAATCACCTGTTCCGGTTGGGACACTTGAAATCGAGGATGTGAGAGTGGTTGAAGCATTGCATGAGTCAACTCCTGTCCGCTTGTGTAGGAGTTGACGCCTGACTCAGTGCGGCTATGTTGGCCTGCCTTCATCTCTCCATTGGGTCTTCCGCTGGACGGCTTTTTTCTCATTCATGATTTAGCTATTGAGCATGGAGAGTGGGTGTAGATGGCGATGCTATGCCAGAATGCGCAGGAGTATCGAGTTCAGTGCAGCGATGGTGATGTATGGCAAACAGTAAGCGTCGTTGAGGATTGAGTCTTGAATTTGGAGATGTTGCAGCGGCGTTTGATTCTTCGTTTGAGTTCAAGCCCTTTGTTTCACAGGACATGCGCGATGGTGACGATTTGATCCTTGGATTGCTTTCAAGTTTGAAGGTCTATGAGTCTATAAGTAAGATTTGAAGGGTGACAGGATTTCTTGATAACCTTCTAACCGAGGCAATGTGTTGTCAAGTTCTTGAACCCGCACTGCTCATATTCATTCAGCATCCAATGCCGCAGCTTGGGTTTATGTAAAGGGTGAATGAAAACGAACCAAAGGGTGAAAGCGCCATGTTTGTCGCTGCAGGTTACCGAGCTTTGCCCACTTTTGGGGCCAGGCTCAAAGTCGCTCAACTCGGCCGCCGAGAATGCGCATCATAATATTGGCGCAAAGACGCCACACAGTTTGTTGCACTGTCTGGGCACTTGCAACACGCAGAATCCCTGACAAAATGTGGTGCCTCATGAATCGCCTTCTGCACAAGATGTGCTGGAGGCAATGTCCATAAAACGCGTGACCCAAAATGTGGTGCAAAACTTGAGCAAGCAAGCATGGCTTTATTCCGGCATCCGAAATTGGAAGGTGGAGTAAAAGTCCAAGCACCCCTTGTGCTGTTGCAGTGTGAAGTTGGCAGCGAAGGATTCCTGAAGGTGACGCAGACAGACACAGAACCAGCGTAAGCGAGGTTTAGACCAAAGTAAAGACTATGAAAAGCATTTTGGACAGCAGTTGGGTCATGACGTCTTCATGTCTTGTCATTCCCCAGATAGCGTGAGCTATCCTGGTAAAGATGACCTCAGCAGGCAGTAACCTTGTGGCTATATGGTTGAAGGGTGTGATGGATGGATTTGGCAATGAAATTCACTTGGGGCTTACCTTGCTTCCACTTGACAACGGCATAGATTTGGCATAGTGACGCCTTGTAGCTGCAATTGGAAGCACTACTGCAATCATCATCAATCTCAGCACATTATTATACAGGTGCAGAGATTCAGGTGATGCAGTTGCTGCAACACACCTTCATAGATGCAGGTGTTGAGATACAAGAGAAGATATCAATACTACACAACTGCAACTTCAACACCTTCCTAATCCTAAGGCGGCAGGGTGACCAGCTTTTTTGCAGACATTGCGCGTTGCTTTTTTTGGTCGCGGACCGGAGATTATTACACGTGTTATGATGTTGATTAACGTGAGGTGAAATGCAAATTCGCGGTGATTCTGGGGGACCTTTTTATGGAGATCGTGCATGTTAAGCTGAAAGCTGAGGTGAAGTGCAGATTTGTGATGATTTTGTGGATTTGTGGAGCTCGTACGCGTTGAAACGCAACACAAAGCGCGAATTCTTGCTCATCGAAAACCCTTTGCAGGATCGCGAGTGTCGAGTTGCCATTCAAAATGCAAAATTGCTATTGAAAACCAAGATCGAAGCTGCCAAAGTATGTAGCTGTTTGTCGTTCAAATTGAAGGTAGCAATTTCTAAAATATATTTAAAAATAAAATGAAATATAGTCGAAAATTAAATGAAGGGTATACAAAAATTTCAAGTCTTTTTAGAGTAATTGAAATAATTTTGAAAATTTATTTAGGAAATTTGGATAGGATTACAATTCTATTGATTTATGTTTATTTAATTCTGCGGATTTTTAGTATTGAATATTTTTTAGAAAATTTTGGTGGATTTTTTAAATATTTAATTGAATAACGGTTGAAATATGATTGTAAATATATTAAAATATATGTTAAATTTTAAGCGTTATTTCTAATTTAAGTGTTTTTGCGGTCGTTCCCGGGGTTGGGTGTTATTTTTTTTTATAAATTGGTATGTTATTTTGGATTTTTATCCTATTTTTTTTATATATAAATTTGATATTTATAGAATTGCAAAATTCCGTCTTAAGTCCGGGGGGTTTGAATGCTTATGTACCATTATTTATTTTTTAAGGATTCGAGCTTGGAATAAGGGTTATTAACCTTTTTTTTACGTTGATGGAAATATAGAATTAGTTTAAGACTCTTTTATCGTTTGCACGAAAATTAATGAAGTCTGGGTATTATATGGTTACGGTTGATTTTTAATTGTTGTATGTAGAACGTATTAATTTCGAATATAATGTATAAAAAATTGTTTTATCGAGCTTGTAAAGTTATAGAAATAAATGCTTTATGGATTTAGATATGCTTTTTCGCTTGAAAGGTCTACGGATTATAAATATAGAGATTTTCTTTGAAGTTATTTTTTAGGGTTTGGTTTGATTTTGAAGATGTTGTTTCCTATATTTTATGTGGGGTTTTAATTTTGTTGGTTAATATTCCCTCCGATTCTTCGATCTCTTTTTCCTTTTCTTCGCTTCCTTTCCTATCTTATACACATACCTCATTTACTTACACTTACACTTTTACACTTACACTTTTACACTTACATTTTTACACTTACCGACTTACACATTTACACTTATACACTTATATTTACATACTTACACTTACACACACACTCTCTCACTCACACTTTCTTACTCGTACTCTCTCACTCACACTCTCTCATTCATTTACTCTCTCACTTACACTCTCTCACTCACACACTCTTTCACTCTCACACTCTCTCATTCTCACACTCTTTCACTCTCACACTCTCTCACTCTCATACTCTTTCACTCTCACATTCTCACACTTTCATACTCTCACACTCTTACACTCTTACACTCTCACACTCTCACACTCTCATACTCTCACACTCTCACACTCTCACACACTCACACTCTCACACACTCACACTCTCACACACTCACAC